GTGTGTGTGTGTGTTTGTGTGTGTGTGTGTGTGTGTGTGTGTGTGTGTTGTTGTTGTTGTTGTTGTTGTTGGGTTGTATGCCCATCTGTATTCCAGACATGGAAGCAAACTACTGTTTCTGTCACCTTGACCACCTTGAATCTCCCCCGCTGTAGACTGGGCTGAACAGCAGACAGTTTCCCTCGACTGACTGTGATTGAAATGAACAATTTTGTTTTTCTGCTCCCATTGAATATATTTATATTTTGGTCCCTCTTTGTGTCTTTCCTACACTTACTTTTGTTTTTACCAGCCATTGAAAATATAACGTTAATAAGCATATTTGACAATATTTCAAGAAAGTTTGTGATTGTGATTTATAACTACTGGCCTACAATTGCTTGAAGAAATACATATCGCCAACCATCTTTTGACAGAATTTAAGACTAAGATCATATTAGACATTTTGAAAATAACAAAACAGCATGCAATATCACTAGATACCATTCTCAGAGTATGATTAATGAATGACTCAGCTACAACCACATCAAATTTTAGCTCAGTTTCTGTGAAACTGACTGAATATAGCCATATTAATGTTCTGTCAATGGTTAAACTGCTTCTGTCATTTAGTACTGAATTTAAAACTTTATGTTCATGACAATTAAATGAGCTTAAATGAGACATGTCTTGCAAAATCCACTTTCTTAGCCATTAAATGCATTTTGTTATGTACTTGGAGTCTGTAGGAATGCAGAAAAGTTGAATTTAGATTCCTGGTGCTGCAAAGTTATCTTTATATTCTGTTTGGGTCATATTTTTCAACCCGTTCAGTTTTCTCTATTTTCTATGACGTTTTCTTAAATAGTATGTCAAATTATTTGTGATGGATCAGACATAAAATGTCTGGACTTACCCACCACAGTTTGGTCGTCTTCACTCTCCTCTGGCTCTGGGTCAGACTCTGGCTCTGGGTCAGACTCTGGCTCTGGGTCAGACTCTGACTCCAACCTGTAAGGCTGGATGGACAAGTCTTCCCTTGTTGACATCTTTTAATTTACTTGTAAATAAAATTTTCATGACAGTCATAAACCCCTCTTTCAAACTAAAATTAATCGGTCTGGAAGCTGGAGGGGGGCAGAGTGTGAAGYGCCTCATTTGGATTTAAAGAGACAGCCTCAAAATGAGTTGATCTGAGGCACACTTCAGAAAAAGAGTGACAGAGGGGCTTGTGGAGTTACAATAAGGAGGAATTCAGACCAAAGCATTGCAGTTCAACTTTATATACATTATATATACATAATGGATTATTTAAATGTGAAAAAAGAAGAATATGAAAGCAGGATATGTCTACTTTAAGGTTTGTCTTCTTATAGACAAACCACATTCAAAGTAGCAAAGTACCTTTTGTTAAAACTACTAAATTATCAGTGTTCTTATTGTTTTTGTTCACACTAGAAAAAATGGTAACACCATAATAACTACACCTTTTTTAGTCTTACTTAATCATCAATGAATGGTTAGCTAACCATTTACACAATCATTTACATARATGTACACACAGTATATAGAATAGTTAATTCATGAGTTATTAAGCATGAATAAACAATAAGTAGCCTTTATGGGTAAAGCATTAATAAATGTGTTAGTTTAAATCTTATTAAGTGTTAATCATCTTTACTTAAAGATGTTTTGAAGATTAACCATTTATTAATGATTAAGTACAGCTAAATAAGGTATAACTGTTGAAAAGTGCTATCGAAAAAATAATAATATATTGACATTGATATAGTAATATATAATGTGGATGGTATAAACTCACAAATTCCTACATCAATATTTTTTTCTATTTTTTTTTACTCTGTTTATTCCCCTTTTTGTTTCAAGTGTGATTTCAGTCAACTACGAAAAGGTAGATTTCCTGCGTGAATCAGGATGTCAGAAGGTTTCTATCCCAAACAGTCAAATGTAATTATGTACACTCCCCCCCCACCACACAAGGCGGGTCTGCATTAGTCCTCAGATGTCTGTGTGTTTGTTTTAGATGTAGACAAGCTGTTCTTTCAAAGACTCTAAGCCACTGATGTGCTTGATGTGTATTTTTTTTCTCCTCGTGTAACATAAAGCAACCTGTCATCAGGTAAATGTCAATTAGGAGGCATTAAGAGTGTGTCTGTTGACGTATTTGTGTGTGTTTGCTGCTCGTGTTGAGCTGTCGTCAGCGGTGTGCTCTGACAGCCTTGTAGATCTACAGTAAAACTTCCAGCGACACGTCTAACCGCTGACAGCTTCTCTCCGCTTTCAGTGACTCTGATGGCTAAACTGCACACGTGCAGACGCAGCACACACTCACATTTACTACGTCAGTGTGTGCATTTCCTCTCTCTCTCTCTCTCTCTCTCTCTCTCTCTCTCTCTCTCTCTCTCTCTCTCTCTCTCTCTCTCTCTATAATCCTCTTGTGTTTTTGTTGACTGGTAATGATGAGGTATGAAAAGGAGCTAAGGAGAGAGGGAAATGAATCAGTGCTGGGATGCTTTGGTTTGATTTAAAAAAACTTCAGGTTAGTGCTTACTTGGCTTAGCAGTTGAGAATTGKTTTATTATCCTGACAGTTTGTTTTTGACATTTACACTTAAGCTAAAGCTGTGATAGGTGAGTCTCCTTAAAATGACAAAATGTCAGCTTTACAARCAAATATTCAAAGTTTTTGTTGTTTGAACAAGCCTTATTATTTTTAGTGTAAAGAAAAGCATATAATCCCTCAAATGAATTATAATTCTATAAAACCTTATTGCAATTCAGTTTTCAAAGCATTTAAAGTCACAGAGTCAGGATTTGCACAGACGCAAACCTGACGCCTCATTTTTCTTGGTTTTTTTTTTTTCTGTTCAGGGGCAGACGTGACTGAACCCAACAGCTCAGACAGCCGCAGCGAACGCCTCGACTTCTTCCTCAAACAGGAAGAAGCGCTAACCACAGAGGCCGGCTTCCTGGGCACCAACGAATCGGAGGAGGCCGGCGGAGGGGCAGGCGGTGGAGGGATCTCGTCCGTGGCCAATCTGAAGGCAGCGCTGATGAGTAAGAACAGCCTGCTGTCTCTGCGGGCTGAGATGATGGGAGATGATAACCCCTTACTGTACGAGTACCTGCCCAAAGGAGGTCACTCCCTGTCTTGTAAGTATTCATTTACTGCAACTGAGCACACACTGGTTGTTACACACAACTGAGCYGCACAACTTCAAACTCACATCTGTTGTCGTATCACTGACCACCTGCTGCACATGTGGTCACCAAGATGCAACTCTGAGTGTCCTCAGCTGGACATTGTTTTCATCATCCGCTGGATTTGGTTAAATCCCTGTGTGTGKGTRTGTCTCTGTGTGTGCGTGTGGTGTTTCTTGCGTGGATAACCAGTTTGTGTGGCAGTGCCAGTGATGACTACTCAGCAGTGACTAAGTGAGAGAACATTTTGCTGGGATCACGCGTGCTGTCTTGAGAAAWTTTTCTTGGTTTTATGTGACAGTTGCTTTGTRTGTATCAGTAGGTCTGTGGCTGTTTCACAGCAGCGGGGAACAGAGAACTCAACAGAACAGCAGTTCATATATTTACACACTGAAGTTTCTGTGCCAAGCCACAAAACAAACCTTACAGTGCTGCTGGGAGCTTTTGCAAATTTTAAAACTTGAATTTTTCAGAAGCAATTTTTAATTTTTTATATTTACCAACGAAGATAAGAYTTTCAATAGAAACTTTTTTAAGTTTTAAGTCCAGAGGTGCATGTGCAAAACATGCTATTGTAGTGTGCCAAACAAATGGTCAAAACATGCACTCACATCACCTCCAGCTATTAAAAATACTAATGCACCTCACACCCATGATGCAATCAGATAATAAACCAAGTAATGAGGGACTCAGCCATCTTCAAGCGGATTCAGAGCTGAAAGAAAATATCTGAGTGAAAGGTTTTGCATCGCCAAAGGAGAAGCCGTTGGACCGGTTTCAGGTCTCATCAGTGCTGTCTGTGTGTGAGTCCTCAGCTCCTTGAATCAATAATAAATATATATTTTTAAATCCTTAACAAGCTGCTACAATCACAGAAGGAAAGATCATGGCTGTTAATTTGTGCGTAACAGAAAATGATCTCAATTCTAGTAGCGGCGATTAGAAAATGCTGAGTCAGCCAGTTACTGTTACATCGTTTTGGTGCACGTGTGCACACAGCTTTTCTGTCGATGCCAGAAGGTTGGGAACTGCTAATCTAAACCAGGTGTGGGCTAGAGAGATGGTTGGGTTCACAAAAATAYTATCTTCATGCAGAGCGTGAATGCATCACACTAGACGAGTGATCCTAATAGATTGTGATTTTCCAAACTGTCCTTTGCAGTATTAATTTAGTGATGATGCATTTTTGAAATAATGTGCAGCTAAATTTAAACAATATTTAATCTTAATGTAATAGGTTTGGTCATTATACGTGTACATATTTACCTTTTATCTGACATTCTGTTTTTGCTAGTYACATCAACGTATTTTTTCAGCTTCTATACCTGTTTTTTTAGTCAGCAACATTAGAATAGTCTATAAGCTGTCATGTTTCTTTAAATCCTCTACTTATCTTTAAAAAATCAATTTACTATCCATTCATGTTGAAAATAGATGAATTCACTGCAGCATTTGTGTTTACTTTGTCCATAACAAGAGATTTTTCTTATTTTCTCATTTTCTTTGCTACTGAGGGTGTTAAACTGTCAGGGTGTGTGYATGTGTGCGTGCGTTCTCGTGTTTGTGTGGGGTTGTGTTAGCGTGAGCGCAGATTCGCTCGAGTCCAAGTCCGCGTGGGCACATTCTGTGTGTTCAACTTCTGGGTTTGTTTCTTTTGCTTTTTAGTGGCGTGTAATTGGATCTTTTGTCCCGAGTTCTGCCTGGTTTTTGTCCGTGGAAGAAAAGCAGAGGAAGGGTACAACTCAGAGCCGAGTCACGTCTATTGAGTTGAGCCCCACTCACCTCACGATATAAAAGAYGGGGCCAAGCCTGAATAGACCAAAACACAGATTGGCAGTCATACACGGAGTCACATCGCATCACCTCTTTTGTGCGAGTGTTAAGTGTGTGGGATTGAGATGTTTCTGTTGGCTTAAAGAGGAGAATCAGATACTGTCACAGCACAGACAGCCTCAGAAAAATAGAAGAAGAAGAAGAAAAAAAGAAGACTTTACAGCTACTGTCAGCCTTGACTATCTGAAGGAAGGTAGAGAATTCACAGAATGTTAATCATTTGTTCCCAGCACGGAAGAAATGGTATTGAACGAGCCCTATATCTGTATTTCCATTGTCACCAAAGAAACCTCAGGGAGGGTTTTTTGGTTCGCCAAACACTATTTTGTATTCGCTACACAATGAGGGTCGGGGAATTGGGTTTGTTGAAATGGCCAACAGCCTCCCCTCCCACCCCAAAGCGTGTCCCTGTGTCTAAATGAGGACAAAAAAAATAAACAAACACTGTACCTCAGATTACTGGGCGGAGGAGAAGTCTGCCTGCTTTGACAGATCGCYGTTCCCTCCTTCYGTCCGTCCCTCTTTCTCCCTCACTCCTGTTTAGCAGCCTTCCAGTATGCCTTGTTTATTTTCCCCCTCCATCTATCTCTCCTTCACCCCTCCTTAACTCCCATCTCTCTCTCTCTCTCTCTTCCCTCTTTTCCATCAGCTGGGGAGCATCAAAGCATGYTGTTTTAAAATCCTGGGAAAGTATTGATCTAGGCTGAGAGGAGGGTTGAGCAAGGTCACCTGGTGAGACCACAACATATCAGTAAAAGGCCTTGAAACTGGGCTCCTGTTTACATTTTCTGTCTAATTGACTATTCATTTAAAAGATGTTGTGTTTTCTACCAAATGCACCTTAAATCAAACTAAACAGAAAACTAGTGTTGCCCAGTTTATTACCTCTTCATAAATCATACCGATCCTGTAAACATGACCTTCTATTCACTGTTCTTTTCCCGGGCCATGGCTACATCCTGTTTGCACGCCAAAARCACAGCAGAACTGGTCTGCATGTCAATCAGTCCAATCCAATTAGGATCACTGGGATTTAGCCCTGCTGCTTCTCTGCATGTCAGACGGTCGGGGCCTAACAGTGGATTTGATCGGACCATCCCAGCCCACCTGCCCACGCTGTCACGGTGCACGGGCTGTAAAGTGCATCCATTTACCTACGCTGATCATGCGGGCATTATTATTGAACTATTCTCTCCACCGTCGACTCTCATCACTTCACAGCAGCTTTGAAAAAGTTACTAAGATCTCCTGAACACTTTTCAATGAGCAGAATTTTGTTACAGAGTCTAAATCCTATAAAGACACAGCATATGGCTCATCTTTTTAAATGTAAGAGAACAGGAGAAGCAATAAAAATGTCAATAAGAGGAAATGAATATGATCCAATTTTGGATGGTCTTTTAAAGGTCAACTTCTGCACTTTCTGTGGAAACTTTTTGAAACTGCTGGAACTTACCTACAGGTGGAACAGGGTGAACCTAAAGCACTGATCACTGATCCAAGGTTCTTTTCTTCAGAACATYACAATTACTATTGTACCCCATAGAAACATAAAGTTGTCCATGAAAAACCCTTGTAGTTCAAATGTTTCACTCTTTATTTGTTTGTTTCTGCTTGACGTTAATAATAAATGACATTTTCAGATTAAGCATCCATGTGAAAGTAGAATATTAGCAAAAAAGTTTATTTTTCTTCCCATGTTGGATCATTCAAACAGTCGTTTAAACGAAATCATGAGAAATGTCAAAGGCAGCATCATTCTGTTGTGATAAATGGTGCTCATCTGAAATATGAATTTGACTCTGAGGATGTTTGAAGCTCTGAAAACTGAAATTCATTTCGGTTTGTTCTGGTTTTTAAGTCTAAATAGAAAAGAAAATGAACTAGATTTAACAACAGTAAGGTAAATGAAGTGGCGTAGAAAGGACAGTATCTTTTTCTGAAATGTCACAAAGAAAAACTGATAAAGTTCATTTTTAATTCAGTTTATTTATATCGCGCCAATTAACCAAAAAGTAATCTGGGCGCTGTACAAAAATAAATACAAGTTCCAATTATAAATTCAATCCAGATCTTAATTTAAATCTAATTACAGTTGATTCATTCCTGTTTTATTACAAATAGTCACACATAAAATACATTATGAAATTCTAATAAAAAGTTATCTACTTAAGGAAACCAGCAGATTGGTTCAGTTTTCACTTTGTCACGATCCTCCATCCTGAGCAACATGTTGGTGACAGTTGAAAGGAACAACTCCCTTTTAACAGGAAGAAACCTCCAGCAGAACCAGAACCAGGTTCATGTAATTGGGGTTTGACAGAACAGGACACAGATACAGACAAACACAGGAGGACCGGTCCAGGTGTTGTTTCTATGCGAAGAATACAAAGTAAACACAGCTTAATGGCAGCATGAGCTGAATGTAGAAATCTGGAGAGCAGAGTGAGTAAAGACAGCAGCAGCGTGAACAAATGTGTTCAGTAAGTCCTCCGGCAAGTCTGTAGCAGCAGGGCTTAGGAGAACCCAAACCAACCCAAGCCTCGTGGACAGAAACTAGAAGTTGGTTTAGCAACAGAGGAGCTTGAAGCTCTGCCTCACGTTCGACTGTTGAAGCTCTAGAAACCACAAATACTCCTGTAGCCAGCAGTAAACCTGTTAGAAGCTAGAATTCAAAGTACCATGAAGGTAAGTGCATTTATTTAAAATGATAAATCAGTTTATATGAAGCAGGGTTGTATGCAGAACATCCAAGGAGGCAATGTCTTACCTACAGTAGAAAGCAGCCAAAGTGAGTCAAACTTAGCTACTCAGAAAAATGTCCACATTGGAGTGAATTTTTGCCACTTTTTTGAGTTCTGACAATCTAAAAAAGCTCAATCCTCTGCGCGAAAAAGTTCATCTGAAACTAAAGTGACAAACTTAAACTGAATGGGTTTTGATATTAAAGTTGTTTTAGACGAGGAAAACCTGCTTTTTTCCTTCTTCATTTGAGCTCACTGATTCTGTTGTCTGCTGCAGGTAAATTACTAACTACTCAGATTGACACAACTCAACCTAAATTCATTCAAATTGATCTCTCTTTAAATATTTCTTATTAAAGTTTAAACCATCAAAGAAGAATGAAACTGTCGTCAGGCCTTTTCTTCTACACAGAACACCAGTTAGATCCAATTTTCTCCTAACTGGCTTATAAAGTTTTAGGTAATTAGCCCATAATAACAGGATAGTCATCTTAAGGGGAGTCCTTGTCTAAAGCCTAAAAAGTCTTATAAGTCTTGACCCTATTGTGGTGACAGGTGGTGTGAAGTAATCAAGTTCTCTTACCGTCCATCCTTGATGGTTAAATGGTTACTCTATGTTACAAAAGGTAGTTTTCCCCCTTGATTTTTATTTGTTCTAATGGCTAAAATGGGCATTTTTGCAGCTCAACAGAGATTTCTGCAAGAAACTTAAACCAGCGTTATATATTTTCTTATATTTATATAACATTTRAAAAAATGTGTCAGTTTGTCAAAAGAAGAAGATTTTAAAACGCCTTTACACACTTTAGAGATTGCTGAATTTCTCAAAGTTGGGAGTTGAATTATTCTTTTATTTATTTAAAAGTCATTCAAACTAAAAGAGGTMTCGGGACTCTGCACATGCTCCACTGACAGTCCCTGGATTTTGACCAGGAAGCAGCTGAAGAAAGGAAGAAATGAGGCGTATTTCCATCTATTGTAGCGAAGCTTGRCATATTTCAGTCAATAAATTGATTCTGTTCTAATACTTGTGTTTTGCTACAAGGAGAGCAGACCACTTATTGGCTTATAGTCACGCTATAACTGTAGCTTAACTTAACTCTGCATGGAAATGTATTGTGTGTTAAAGCCAACTAACGGAGTTATTCCATAATCGTCCTTCCCTGACAGGTGTCTCCTGCCAGAGCAGCATTAGTTAATGAGCTGCTCCGTCTCACCTGTGGCTCATCGGTTAACGCTTTGTTTCCACGTCTCCTCCACTCGCCGGGCTGCTCCTCCTGTCACTGCTGGGGCAGGGAGGAAGAGTCGGGGATTTCAGCTTTTGTGTGTCTTCTCAGTAAGTGGGAGTGGGGAGTGTCAGGCGTTTAACATTCCAGGAATCAAACCTCATGGATGTGTGATTCTGTCCATTGTGCAGGGGTGGGGGGTGGGGGGGGTGCAGTGAATGGCTAACCCACTGCATAACTCTGAAGATGTCCCCCCTAAACACGCACACACACACACACACAACAACTTGCAGTAAACTTTACACAGCAGAAAGACGTGTGTGAGCCATAAAGACTTTGTGAGAAATCCAAAATTCTTCACCCAGCGAGTCTTAACTTGATGCTGGTAAATATTTTACACAATCCGTGCAGTCGTCCTTTGGCCAGTTTGTACAAAAAAAAAAGAAAACAGAAAGTGTTCACTTGAGCAGCAACATGGCTTCTCTCCAAAACTATTTGCCTCCACGCTACAGAGGATCTTCAAGCCCTTTCTCCTTATATGCATTTCGCTGGTGCACACAACATTTGCACACACTCTCACACACACACACATGCTGCCATCCTCTGCGCTCACATGTGGGTGGAAAGAGAAGGAGAGCAGAGGAGCAAAGGAAAAAAGAGAGAGAGAGAAAGAGAGAAGAGAAGCCCTAACCCTTTCCCCTTGGCTGGTGGAAAGTAAAACTTCGGAGTTTTTCTTCCTCCCCCTCTCCTCGGTGTTTGATAGTGTAGCTCTGGCAGCCTCTGTGTGCCCCCCCCCTCCCCTCCACCCCCCTGCCCACTCTCTCTCGTTGTGTGTTCTGGTGGCCAGCTGCTAGCAGAGTTGCAGTTGTACGTGAGTGGGTGGGTGAGACTCGTTTCCTGTGCTCCTCAGGGCTCCGCTTCAACAACTACTGCAGCACGCTCCGGCCAGGGGCCACAGGGGCCACTGTTCATAACAAACAGGGTGCTGGCTCCTCTCCTCCTCCTCTTCCTCTTCTTCCTCCTCATCTTCCATCCTCATCATCGCCACCACCACAACACCTGCCACCATCAACGCCAGCATACTGCCCACCTACTTCACTCACGCCACTGCACCCCTCGCAGCCCCGGCCCCTGGAGGCCCCCGGTCTACAGACTGGGGCACCCCTGTTGAACTCTGAAGGACTGGGCATGGAAGTGGAGGAGGCCCTCGAGGGCCCGGAACCCTCCACGCTGCCGGAGGTAAGACCCGTGAGCCTAGCTCGGACCCAGGGTGGAGGCTGCTCTCTGGGTGTCGCTCCTCTTGAGATCCAAGTTCATATCAGAAAGTAGAGATAAGCATCCAGAGATCAGCTTCACCTGGCCTCCACACACACACACACACACACACACACACACACACACACACAC